AAAGCTGCACGATACCTGAGTATTGCTAAGCGCCCAGCTGTTTATGACCACAGCATACCCATCTTCTGATGGTTGCTTCCAGAACACTTGTTCTTAAACATAACAATAAACTCACTTTACTCAAATGGCCTCCGCAGTCGCTAGATCTCAATCTAATAGAGCGCCTTTGGGATGTGGTGGAACAGGAGATTCACATCATGGACGTGCTGCTGGCAAAGCAATTGCATGATGTCAATATTAACCAAAATCTGAGAAATGTTTGTTGAATCTATGCTATAAAGAAATAAGACAGAAGGCAAAACGGGGTCCAACAACAATCAGGTATACCTATTCAAGTGTTCAATTTATCATTTAAGTATTTTTGTAAAGGAAAAGTGCCAAACATTTAACAATTCCTGCTTAATTATGGTCTCAGTTGCTTCTTTGTTGAAGTGATAATTGCTAGCTGCACACCACATTAAGCTAAGCAGGAACAAAAACTGACTGTCATGATAAGCGCCACATGATGGTGACAGCTGCGAATAAATGGCGGCGACAGTCTAGCTCATCATTTTCCTTACTACCTAAATAGTTGTGATAACTTAATAAACTGAGGAGTCCCATGTCATATAGTATTGTTATAATCTGCATAGACTTTTATATCAATGCCTGCATAAAACAGGACACCAGAGTCCCTGGCACACATCAGGAAGAGCCAATGAGATTAAGGGAAGCAGGAAGCTTTCTGAGATAATGGTGATGGTTTGATGTTTATTATGGACATCTTATCTCTGCCCCGAACAAACACCAAGCTCTAGTCTACACAACGAAAGCATACAATATTTTGCGTATTCATGGTAAAACACTAAAATGCTCCATCTGTTCATGTGAGATTGCTCATGCTGACATGACTGATGGAAGATGACATTTATATTGTCATCTGAAAGATACAGTAATTCCCAGTGTGTAGACTGGAGCAGAATTTAGCTTTCGGCTTCATTTCTATGGTATTATAAGCCCCGCATTTTCAGTTTTAGTTCCCATGTCAGCGTCAATTCCCTGAGTCATCCACAGGAATGGATACACTTTAATTGCAGGCACTCCAACTGCTTGACTCATAAAGTGGATATGAGAACAATGAGTTTTCCGTTCCTAAATGACTGCCTCCGGATCAACTTCCAAATACATTATTGTTACTGATAAAACAAAAACTGAGACTTGCAGAGCACAGCTGACCTCCTGATCACATTCCTGATAGATCTGCCAGTGCGTGGCATAAAAACCCACATTCAAAGAGTGATTTCCAGACATTTGCAGTACTTACAGCTTGCCTATGTAGAGCAATCATTTTTAATATTTTAACAGACCTCGTCAGAGCTGACAAAGCCAGTGACCTGTGCATGAAAGACTCATCACGAGATGTCAGCCCAAGGATTCACTCGCAGAAATGACGCTCTGGAGTGCTGCTATGTTGTCGTGGTATGAAAAGTTAATTCTCATAAAATACATTTGCAATTGTTGTGGTCAAAAATCAACACTTACAAAATAGGATAGTGGATTTATAAGTAGACTGAAGTCTCAATCTGCATAAACAAAGGACTAGTAACTGGAAACTTGAAACCTAATGTCAACATATCCTGATGTTTTCTGTTATTCTGACTGTTTAATAACACAGTTATAAATCAATAATGTTTAAACTGAAAAGGTCACAAATTTCATATTATTAAAATTGTCATTTGTGTCATAGAAGCATCTGTATGATTCTAGACATGGACCTTTTGTTGGGTATATACCGTTCTCTCTTTCTACTACTAGGACAAAATGCACAATAAAATATTCATCCATATAAAAAGATATGAATCCTCTTGCATTCTTGACATCCAAGAAGGTCTCAGCAGCACAAGAGAAAGTCTTACCTGTACCATAGGCTTTGGCAAACAACCAGCGGAGATTTGCGTCTATTTTGGCTCTTGCACAGTCGTACAGCTCCAGCGGTACAACCTGAGCCTCCATGACCCCTCCACCACCACCACCATCATCTGCTGTTGCTGCCGCTGCTCTCCTCCAAGTGCTGTCCCTGCCAGCACTCACCTCCACATCCATCCTGAACATAGAGACACACGGGCATTACTTCTTCTCATGAAGCCAAAACCATTACATCATCGATTTCAGGACAACAACCGGGGCCCTGCTCACTGACAGCACCGGCTCCGTTAACATGAAATTCACAAAGACTCACCTCGTCTGACCTGCAGGTGCTGTAGTCGCCTCTGCTGTCAGTCTGCACGACCATTTATATGAGCCCAAAACACCTTCTATATGTATGCTATTTATCTGATTATCAGCTAATAATGTCTTAGACTGAAGTAACTATAGGGCACTTCGGGGCATAAATGATAGCTCTGTGTTCTTTTAGAATTAGCTTCAAAAATGAAACCAAAAATAATATTTTTTTTAGTAAATGACAGCTGGTTCTTGTGAGTCCAGTTGAACAGAACGACCCAATATTAACCTAGCACCGCTATGTCCACTGTATCAGTGGCAGGTTAGCTAGCGTTGCAACATTTAACAGCAACAATATAACATGTAGCAAAGACTCACCTCTAAGAGCACATTAGGATCCTCTCCGCAGCTTTGTATTTGAGATGGATGTATTGTTAAAACGCCGACATGCTGGCCGGGCTTCAGCTAACGCTGAAATAACAGACTCCTCCCCGCCCAGCGACACAAATCTCCGGCCTCTCAGGATAAAGCTTCGCCTGGCGGCTGATGGTCGTTAATCCAATAATAATAATAATAACAGTAATAATACAAATTCCGATTGGCAACCACCCCAGAAGTCTGCTTTCGATGGAATCATTAATGTCAAATAGCTGGCTCTTTCATACTGAGGCTGTCATCGTGTCTGACGGAGGACTGGCGATTCTAACGGTGCACGAGCAACCCTGTTGTAGGAGCCTGTCTCTATGGGGACGGGTGTTACCGCCAGTTACATACAGCCACCTGGTGAGGGCGCTGCAGCGCTATTAATATTTTAAAAACCAATCAAAAACAGCTGTGAAGATTAATAAAAGATAAGAAAAAAAATCAGGAACAAATTAACGTAATAAAAAAGTAAAACCTAAAACATAAGATAGTTGCATTAGGCAATCATTTAGAACTAAATAATTAATACTAAACGTTAAAACTAATAAGACTGGATATAATTAATAAAGCAATTATTTGCTTGATTTAATTTCCAATTGGATATTGTTGTAATATTTGTTTTAAACAGACAAAAAAAAGTTCATAACAACAAGTAATGTTATTTATTGTTTTATTTATTTATTGTATCCACTGTAGAAATGAGCACGTGTGAGAGTCAGCACACAGAGCTCGGTGATGCTGGGGTAAGACTTATAAGGCACAGTAAAACAGCAGAGATGGCAGCCTTCCCAAACTCATAGAATAGGGAAAGCAGTGAATGTGATCTTGTGCAGGATCACCATGCACAGAATGAAATTGATGCTTATCTATCTCTTCCATAAAACATTGTATATTAAACATTTATTTTTGCTGTGGATAAAAATCAGTTTATTCTAAAATATATTTTGTACGAAACGAAATCTTTTTTCTTTAATTGCTGTTTTTACCTAAAATGGTGCGAATAAGTATATGAAAAATCGACAATGACTGCATTTGGTGGCTCACACATCAGTTTTCACCGTCATGACGTATATCATGTAAAAGCAGTGAAAGAAGAACCCTCTGCCTAGGTGAACCCAGATTAAGGTGTAATATTCTTATTTTTCCACGCAGGGGAGTGGGTCTGAAACTTCACAAAGTCAGCGAGTGAAGCCAGCCTCCAATAATCAAAGGGATTAAATGTGGCTTTGTCACAAGTGTGCTGCTTGTCATTGAGGAATACGTCCAGGAGGGGGCGGTATTGGTCCATTTATATGTCTAAAACAATTTAATTGTAAATTCATGGCAAAAAAAAATTAAGTAGCCATAAATGTGGTTACATTGGACGAATGCTGGATAATGGTGTGAAAATGACAAAGATATAAATCAATCAATCAAAAATAAAGCATTTTTAAGTGTAAGTACTTATGTTAGGATATCACATTTTATAAGATGTTTTAGGTGAAAAAAGGGACGGGGGGCTCCGCAGACACTTTATTACGTATACGTGTTCAGCGGATTCAGATATCTAAGCAGTCTATTACCTATTGGCAACTTGAAACTGAGAATCAGAATGTGAGTGGCTATGAACATACTTGTTGGGTTGTGGGTGTAAAATGGACAGGTATTTCTTGGTATTTCAGAATCTGCTGATCTTGTTAGATTTTTCCACAAAACCATCTTTAGGGCAACTGCAGCTGTGTGATGCTATCATGTCAATATGAACCAAACTCTCTGTAGAAGGCTTCCTGCACCTTGTTGAATCTGTGCCACGAAGATTTAATGCAATTATAAAAGTGGTCGAGCCTGTGTAACAAATAGCGGGCTGTGAGTGTGCAAAACGTTGACACTCAGTGGCTCAGATAAAAAGTAAACAATGTTTTATCTGACTCAGACTCAGAATGGTTCACATACAGCAAAGGAAAGCAAAGTATTGTACTTCAGGCTTATCTTTAGCTTAATTAAGCTTAAGCAAACATAGTGCCAGTTAGCATAATTATGTACTTTAAAAAAGTATTGCATTATAATGTGACAGCACTGTTGGCACTGGCCTAACCCTGTCTGGTAGGCACCAGGAAGAAAAACTGTCAGCATTGTACATACTCCATATTGTTGTAAGTCCACTTAAACTTGAAGAGATGTAAATAATGACATAATTCCTTTGTGGCACACTTTCAAATCAGCTATAATCTTCAGAAGATTAGCTAGCAAGCCCACTGCATGAATAGCGATAGTAGCAAACACACATTTATTCTTATCTAGTTCAGTTAACATCATGTTACACACAAATGTTTATCAGCAACCCTAGCAGGCATTTTCTTTTTCAGAAAATAAAGTAAAATTCAGAAAGACACACATTTTAAAGTTTAACAATAGCTTTTATTGAATCAAGACAATTTTTACAAAACATTTTTATTCAGCAAATATTTCTTAGCAAACTACAACTTTGCATGAAGTTTGATTTTGAATTCATTATTTTTTCTTAAAAAAAAACACCTTTACCTCTGGATTAGTTTATAAAACGTGACATTTAAACACCTTAAACCACACTCCTTTAAAAGTGCAGGTGATTCTATTAAACATACAAAGGTCCCAGCTTCCTTCACAATTTCTGCCCCACATTTTTTACAAGAAAATTCACACACACATACACTGCGTTTCAAAAAGCACTGGCACTATTTGAAATTGTGGCAAATGTAACATTTCAGTGTTCTACTACAGGTTTGCCATTTAACACAAAACAGGTTAAACATGTAATCGTTGATTTGTGATAAAAGTATGCAATAAAGAAACAGTCCTTGCATCACAAATGACCACAAATCTATTACTCATTGCCAGCCAAGACTGCTATTCAATAGAATAGGCTCAGATTTACTGAGATGATTTATACTCTCATATTCTCAAAAGCAGCTCCCAGCCGACAGGACATAGTTGTTCTGTGCTTTAAGGTCCAACATTTTTAAAGTATTATATCTTTGATACCTTTGCTCAGTTACTGTCTCCACCATTATTTTTTACAGAGAATAGTGTAGCAAGCAACATCATGAAAGGTGATGCTTTATGTACAAATCTGATCAAAGCAGACTCTGATAAGACTTAGTGAAATGTAGTTTAGTAACAAAAATTGTGGAAATTAAAAGGACAAACGAGGTTAGAATATAATTAATACTGAAACTTTAAAATAATCTATAATTTTTTTTAAAAAGTACAAACATAAAGCAACCCAAGGATAAAATCTGTCAAGACCAATACGTCAAAATATTAAAATAAATTGAGTAAATATATCAACAGAAGACAGAAATAAATAGCCAGTGTACACACTCAGGAGCTGTTTTCTGATATACACTCCCTTTTATGGGTTCTAGTCTTCCCATACATAAAAAAACAGAACAAAAAAACCCCAAAACAATAAAAATTTAAAAGCATAAATATAAAAACATCTTTATCTTTCAGGTCAAAAAAGCACATAAATAAATACAAAATTACTAAAATTGTTCTTGTCATTAGTATAAAAACTGATAATAGAAAAAAAGAACATGTTCAGTCTTGAAACAAGTTTTTTCTGTGTCTTTCATGGTGAACATTGGATATTTTTATGTAGTCCACACAAGAGTTCAGTCCATTTTACAAGTTTTTACTTAAACTGGTCTGGGATTAGATTCATCTGCGAGTGGATACTTGTGGGAGGGCTGGAGATGCCCTCTGACCAATCAGACATGTTGGAATGTGGGGAAGAGCTGGACCATTGGTCAGGGGACCCAGGGGAGGGGGTTAAAAATGGGTGGTCAGGCACCTGTAGCTGGTGGCTAGGTGTGTTGTCCATTGGGCCTGAATAGCTGTGCTGAGATGGAGGGGTGAGAAACTGGGTGCCAAGAATCTGGGTCTCCTGCGGCATCACCGTGTGGATGGGCATGGTGCGGCCTGAGCAGTTGTTTTGCTGCATGTCAGATCCATTCAGCTCAACAGTTGGGAAACTCTGGTTGAGGGACTGAGCGGCTGTGGTGTTGTTAGAGTTCTGGTGCTGGAGCTGCCGCGAGTGAGCCTGTTGCATCATGTGAGCGGACGAGCCCAGATGGCTGGTTTGCAGATTCTGGTAGCCCATTATCTGAGACAGGGTGGCAGTACTGACACCATGCAGAGGACCCATCATGTTATGGGTTATCTGTGGTGGTTGGGTGAAGCTTCCTTGCTGGCCTATGCTTGAGTGCATCCTGGAGACCCAATCACACTGCCCCCCTCTGCTACCACCTATAGATGCTGCGCCCTGACTGTTGGGGCTGGACACAGGCAAATGGGAGAGACGGGGTGGGTTAGGATCAAAAGCCATGCAACTCAGATCCTTACCCATGTTCATCTGGCCAGGATGGGAATCTCCATTCCCCTGCAGGTGATTTAAAGACATTGGGGGCGATTGCTGAAAGGGGGAAGCCATGGGAGGCGAGGCAACATCGGAAAGGTAGCCGTGGGGTGACTCGAGGGAATCAACTGGTGAGAGGACACCTGATGTGTCTAGCAAGTTACTCTTCCCATCCACTGACTTTTTCTTCTTCAGCCTATTATCTTTGCCGTTGTCCTTTCCTCCTTTTCCACCCGAGCTAGGCTTACGAATCTTCTTGCCCGAAACGTTTGGCTTGAGGTTGCTGAGATAGTCATTGGGGGAGCAGAGAGGTGGGGAGAGGGTGGAGGTGCTTAGGGGTGCACTATGAAGCCCAGGACTCCGGACCACATTGTATTCATCCAGAAGACGCACAATGTCATGGTGCATGCGTTCCTGGGCAATATCTCTGGGCAGCTGGTCAAGATGATCAGTGATCTCGCGATTGGCAAAATGCTCCAGAAGAACCTTCGCTGTCTCATAGCTCCCTTCACGGGCTGCCAAGAAGAGCGGCGTTTCTTCCTATAAAGAAACCAAATATTAAGATTATCATTAGTTAAGGCAGGCCACAATGTCAGTGTAAATGGGGATTTCTGCTTCAGCAGGAATTCTACACCACTGTAACTACAAACCTCTCTGAAGCCCCACGGCATAATCTGATATGCACCTCACTAGAAATGTAACTACACATCGCAGTGATGCAGCCCATAACTTTGGTGATTGGCCAACCGGTTCAGTTGATTCCAACTATGCATTTACGGCTGCTTTTTTGCCTCTGTTTTTTAATTTATCAGTGTGAGAATAACAATTACTGAATCAGTATAAGGAATAATAATGATATATTAATGTATCACAGATGCTCAGATTTTTAGCAATGTAACTTTTATATATCCTGCATTTAATTGGGTAAAACCATTGACATTTAAAAATGTTTTTCATGAGAGATCTGGCCAAGAGGACAGCAGAAATTACAATGAATATAACATTAAATTTATAACAAAACAGGCATTTCTTTTTTTTTTTTTTGGCACACCACCACCAATGATTTTGGCCACTTACGTAGGTTGCAACAACAATTCACTGTAGACGTCTAGTCAGCAGCTGATAACAGTTTTTTTTGTTTTGTTGTTGATCTAACTAACAAATCTCAAACAGGACTTTTATCCAGTGTTTAAGCTGCTTAAGATTGCCTACCTTTACTGCATCTCTAAGCTGCTTTTCACCGCATCTCATCTTTTTTATGTGTATGACTTATTATACCTGTTGTTGTTATCAAGGATATACAAGTACATGTTCTAGCAGGGAGGTATGCTCTCCTGGGTGGGAATACCCACTTCTCATTAAACAACACTTCATACACTAGATAATCACTTTATCCTTACATACACAAATGTAAGGATAAAGGCTTGTGGAAAACCTCCATTAAATGCATATCATTTTACATACCTTATTATCTTGCATATCTTTGTTGGCACCATTTTTCAGCAGTACCACAGCAGCCTCCACATTGTTTACAGCTGCAGCCCAGTGCAGAGCAGATTTACCTGCAAAGAGAGTGCAAATTCAGGGTTTATTATCATGACCCTTAGCACAAAAAGCCATTTGTGAAAACTGTAGAGATTGTAGTTTGATAAAACTTTAGCTACCAGATTCATCTGTGGCATTAGCATCGGCGTGACAGTTGATAAGTTCTTCAACCATGCCCTCAACCGCTAAACGGGCCGCCAGAATCAATGGTGTTGTTCCATCGTGCATGCGGGCGTCAAGATCAGTAGCACGGTTTCGGATTAAAATCTGCAAGGACACAAGACGTTTTCTGTTAAATTAATTTAAACTGTTGGGTCAAACTGGGACAAACATTGTCCTGAAAATAAAATCCTGAGGGGATTTCCAGGGCATTTACCTGGAACACTCCCTGTGCATCTGCTGCCACGGCTGCATGAAGCGGTGTGCGACCCATGTTGTCCTGAACGTTGGCATCTGCGCTGGATTCCAAGAGGCGTTTGGCAGCATCTGAGCGGGCATAGCGGGCAGCCAGGTGGAGGGCAGTCTCGCCTGTACGGTCAGTCTGGTTATGGAGGTTGGCGCCCTGGTAAATAAAGTCAGAGATTATTTCTGCCGATGGATCCTCTTCCTCTTCACTGTTGCCATTCTCCAGTCCTCCACCGCTGCAGGAGGCGATCATCAAGGGAGTAAAACCATCTGAAAAGAAGGGGGAGTGGATCAGTGAGTATATAAGCATCTTCAGTCAGTTGTAATTCAAAATATAATTCATGTTTTATTCGTTTGTGACACCCTGACAGAGAAATTGTGAGTTTTCCAGTTACACACCTGGTCCTCTGACATTGACATCCATGCATCCATTCTCTATGTCTCCCTGAGGAGGTGTAGGAGCAATGGATTCAATCCGCAGGTCCGCTGCATCCAGATGTTGCTGTGTCCATTTCCTATGATCTGTATGATCACCCAAATCCAACATGGCCTGTTCCTCAAACTGAAAGACACACCAGTTAGTGTCAGTGTTAGTATCAGAGATGATAAAATTTAGAATGGACAGTTTTGGTGCAAAGGAAAACTCTTCTTACCCTGAAGCGCTTGCACTCCGGATCCTCGTCCTCCCATTCATTTTGGTTGTCATCCATAAGGTTCATGTCCGAGTGTTTCATTGGCCTATTGAAAAGAGGTTGCAGATTAGAGCACCTACAGCAAAGCAAATACAAGTCAAGGAAATATAGTGACCCACTGCCAGTGCCAGTAACCTTCACATTCCACTTTCAGAGTGCACTTACTTTAAGCCAACAGAATCCTCTCCCAGTGGCTCGCTGCGTTTCTTTTTGCTTGGCTCCGATGCTTTGAATCCTTCAGGAAACCAGAGCTGGCCGTGCTCTCGTCGCCGCTTACGGGACACCAGAACACCCAGACAGATGAAACCCAGAGCAGCCAAACCGAGGAAGATTATATACATGGGGTAGAGCTCTGAATCAGAGGGCGTAGGTCTCACGCCTGGAATGATTGTTTAAAATACAATTATTTTACATGACTCATTGTGTTTGTGTATGCATATATATGTATATGTATGGAAAATCTTATGGCTGAAACTGAGACACGTACTTGTGACAGCTTCAATGTAGGGAACATTGAGATTCCCACTGGTGGCCAGTGCTCCAAGGAATGCAGCTACATCTGTGGCACTCTGGAAGCATTCAGTAGACTGCTGGTAACACTGACGGTTGTCAATCTCCAGGTACACCACAGACCTATGAGCAGAGATAGATAGTCACATTAGCATTAACCTTTTTTAGCCTTTTTGTGATGTGAATACAAATCAGTGTAATTTTTTAGTGATTAAATGTTAAACATAGCTAAAATTCTCTTTGTTGTGCCCTACCCTTTGATTTGCAAAGGATCCAACTCTCTGCGTTTCCGGGAGCTGACGATGGATGACACACCCTCTTTAACTTGATCCAAAACACTGGCTGGCATCGAAGCCCAGTCGGGCCACCCATCTGCAGAGCGCTTCAGCACATTATGCTTAACAAGGTCTTGCTCATTGCCATAGTAAGGGAAGATCATGGGTTCTCCTTTGGCGTCACGGCGGAACACCACATTAGTGTGAAGGACACTGCTGAGCTCTCTGAGGAAGGCTGAAGATCGGTTCTTAAGCTCATCTGGTGGGATGTGGACCACAAGAACTAAATGTCCATCAGCCAGTTTCTCTGGCATGTTGTTGGCACAGTCCAGTCCATCCCATTCACATTCTGCGTTGTTGCAGCCCTGGTCACAGTGACCATCAGCATAGTGGTCTTTACAATACTGATCATATAGAGGGCTGAAAAACAAAATAAGACTGGGTTAATATTCTGATACCGCCCCACAAATCTTTAAAAAAAATACCCAAGGCATTTCTGTGACACTTACTTGCATTGTCCTTCTTGTCCTTGGCAATCAAAACCATCATAGAGACACCCAGGGCTATTACACTGCCCATCACACTTCCCATCATTGAAGTATCGCCAACACTGTAAAGCAGAGGAGCAGTTTTGCCACGGATCATCAAAATTAAGCGAACAGTCTCCTCCATCCCAGCCGCAGGCGTGGTTGTTGCACACTGAGTTGCAGATGTGGTTTCCTGCAAACTCGTCACACTGTGGAATCTCGCAGCTCATCTCCACCTCCGGAGGTGGGGTGATGTCCCGGCCAAACCCGCCAACGAACGAGTAGTCAAGTATATGGCAGAGCAGACCATTGAAGTTGCTGGGGCAGCTACACTGGAAAAACGGAGGGTCTGGAGTTATCTGACAAGTGCCACCATTGTAACAGGGGTTCGAGATGCAGAGGCTGTCAGTCGGAGTCTGGCACTCAGGCCCGGTGAAGGTTGAAGGACACAGGCACCGTGGACTTAGGTGGCCTGACACACACGTGCCACCATTCCTGCAATTCAGACTCCCACAGGCACGAGAGTCATACTCGCAGGTGGAGCCAGTGAAACCCTACAGGGGCAGAAATGACACAGGCCTTATGATTAGTGTGCTATGCTTTGGTTTTGAAGGACTTTAAAGTGCTAACATTTAAGTAGACGCTATAATGTTTTACTCACAGGTGGACATTTGCAGACAAAACCATGAGGTGTGTTACTGGCAACAGCACATGTCCCCCCATTTCTGCAAGGTCGCCCTTTGCAGCCATCAAATACCTTGTCACAACGCTGGCCTGTGGCACAGAAGCAAAAAGCATGTGTCAGCTACTCTTAGAAAACATTTAGACTTTTGCTGTACTTTTGCTGCTGATTTACATTCAGTACCTGTATACCCAGTGCGGCATTCACACCGGTAGCTGTTGGTGAGTTGGATGCAGTTGTAGGAGCCTCTGGGGTCACAAGGATCTGACAAACACTCATTGACGTCCCCTTCACAGCGCTCACCTACATAACCCGGTGGGCACACACACTGGTAGCCTCCAATGCGGTCCACACACTTGCCATTGTTAAAGCACTTGGGTTCATTAGTGAGTGGGTCTCTGGAGGGGTTGCAGTCATCTAAGTTAATCTCGCAGTGGACACCTACGGGAAACAGATAAGTTGGGTTACACACCATGGATACCTAGGTATTCATTTATCAAGTATATTTTCTGGAATGTGTGTATGCACATATGCTAAACTATAAGATACCTTGTGTTCCTCTGGGACACGAGCACTTGTATGTGTTGATTAGGTCGATGCAGGTCCCTCCATTTTGGCAGGGCTGAGACTGACATTCATTGATCTCTTTTGAGCAGTTCACACCATGGTAGCCAGGGACACACTGACAATAAAAGATATTCAAGCATATTTTGTTATTTAAATGAGAAACAAGGTTAGAGGGTTACCAGAAATAAACAGCCTCTTGATGTATCTATTATATCATATTTCAGAGTGACTATTAAATCCATATCAGCTGCAATTCCTTCAGAACAGTTTGTCTTAATGCCAACCAATCACTTGGTGGCTCAGCTGATACCCATATGCATCTGCAAATCACTTTGCAACCCGCCTCTATCCCAGCTCCTCATTTAATGGTCTAACTGACTTAATCACTGTTATAACGGTTGTCAGTGATGCCTACTCTGCTACTGCTCTCACTGCTCCCTGCTTCCCATGCATGTTCATGAAAGGGTTGGGAGGTGCCTTACGAGTACCACATATATAGGAAGTTCCCAGAAAATAGTCATAGCACCAAATATAAATCAGTGTCCTGGTGACAATGGTTTATTAAGCTGGCTTAGCTGAAAGAGTCCTGTCCAGGACTTTATTTAAGATAACTTAAATTAATTAATTCATCTTTAAATTACTCATATATCCTTTTACCTCACAACTGTAGCCTCCTAGATAATCAGTGCAGGTGGCTCCATTTTGGCAAGGGTTGGGTGAGCACTCGTCCACCTGTTCCTGGCAGTAACTGCCAGTGTAGCCAGCTTGGCAGCGGCAATAATGCGTGTTTCCAGCATCCAGACACTGGCCTGAATTCCGGCATAAGTGAGCCACGTCAACACCTACAATCAAAGACAAACGAGGAGTTTCAGAATGTACAAACTGCCCACCAGACTATAGCAAATTTACTATCAAAAGCTTCACCTTATAATCGAAATGAGCGTACCTTGCTGTTTAGCTGCCACCTCACAGGAAACACTTGGGATGTCACAGTAGAGGCCAGTCCATCCAGTCTGACACTGGCAGGTGTAGGAGGCCCCTTGCTGCCAACACGAGCCTCCATTTTTGCAGGGAGCAGAGTCACACCAGCGCACAAGATTCTAATTTAGCATAAAAAAAAGAGAGAAGGTACTTAGATGTAGTAAAGAAGCCTAGGCATGTGATAAGACAAAGATAAGAATATTTCTCCCTACCTGACAATTGATCCCCGTGTAGCCATGAGGACAGGTGCATTTGTAGGTCCCATAACTGTCAAGACAAGTGCCTCCATTGAGGCATGGCTTGGAGTCACACTCATTGATATCATATTGACAATAGCTGCCTGTGAATCCGGGTAAGCACAAGCAGGTGAAAGTGTTGATTCCATCCACACAGGTGCCGCCATTAAAGCAAGAGCTATTGAAACAAGAAAATAGGAAATGTTAAATCACTTACTTTCCTCTGGGTCAGTTCATCAGAACAGTTTAATAATAACAGATTGTAGTGAGTGGAGCTACCTGTCAGTGCAGTCGTTTGTGTTGATCTCACAGTTGATACCGCTGAAGCCAGGTGGGCAGGTGCAGGTGTAGCTGTTCACACAATCGGTGCAGTTGGCCCCGTTCCTGCACGGGTTGCTCTCGCACTCATTTATGTCCTGCTCGCATCTGCCACCACGAAACCCGGGCGGACAGGTGCATGTGAAACTGTTGATGCCATCGCGGCACAGGCCACCATTACTGCAGGGATCTGAAATGCAAGAAAAAGGAAGTATGATTGCCACTTTTGTTTTAAGTCAAACACAAAGTGGGAACTTAAAAGGCCTTAGATTTGCTTCTTACTTGGTTTGCAGTCATCGATGTCTGTCTCACACTTCTGGCCAGAGTAACCCGGCTGGCACTTGCACTGGTAACCTCCCATGGTGTTGAGGCAAAGGGCGCCATTGCGGCATGGGCTCTTCACACATTCATTGATATCGATCTCGCATGTTTGACCTGAAGGGGAAAACAAAAAAATATTTATTGTGCTGTTGGGTAATTATATACTAACTGACTACACACACATTCAGCCAAACAATCAAAAAAAACAAAACACTTGTTGGAAAAATGTATACCTTGCCATCCTTCAGGGCAGAGGCAGGAGAAGCTTTGATAATCTTCCGACTCTTTACATATTCCACCATTTTTACATGGCCTGGGAGTGCAGGGGGCCAGTAGAGTCTCACAATTTTCCCCTGGTATGACCAAAAAAACCAACATTGATTGAATCACTCTGGCATTACATAGGAGCTCCTTTGAGTACCTAACTGCATGTAATAAAATAAGCACCACAGTTTCAGTGACCGCAAAACACAATTTTAAAAGCAACACAATTTTTTTTAAATTCCAGTTTCCATTCCACTTCCTTATTCATTTCCATGACATCTTAGCCAAACAGGAAAGGCCTTCCTGTTTCCTGCTATTGTTTGTTCATAGACAGGAAACAGGACATGGCGGAAGTGGGACTAGTGCTCGGAGCAGTGTCCGGGTCTCTGCGTTACATTAGCCACAACGGCCTGTTATTCCAAAAAGCACACACACACGCTATTATCCCAGCAAAACAGACGAGCAGATCTTTCCACACAGAGACGCCAAAAACCAGACATCCCTGTCAGTAGCCGCTGGGTGATGTTTTCAAAAACAACATGGAATATAACAGTCTAATCCTTTTTCAGTGGAAACTTGGAAGATTGTGTTCATGCTATCAGACCTGTGCAAACAGCTAAAAGCAGGTGCTAGTTAAATGAACAATCCAGTTAGCAGTTGTAATTCTCACAGTGGGAGATAAGCAGTTACATGTCGTACCGGTGTAAGGCAGCAAACAATTGCACTTGTATCCAGCCACATCATCGATGCAAGTGCCCTGGTTGAGGCAGGGGTTGGAGGCGCACTCATTGATGTTAGTTTGGCAATTAGGACCTACAGCAATTGGAATTAGAGAACACACTTTGGTTAGATGTTGGCCAACAAGGCTCTCCTCATTCAATCTGTGCACAAATAAAAAAGAAAAGTGCAGGTAGGGTCGAACACTGACCTGTGAAGCCAACTCGGCACGTGCAGTGGTATCCGCTGGTCATATCCTTACAGGTTCCTCCGTTCATGCATGGGTTGGACTCACATTCATTGTTATTGATGTCGCAATTTTGGCCGCTCCAGCCAGAGTCACAGGTACATTTGTATCTTTAGTAGAAAGGCTTGTCAGTAATTGATATATGTATAAATATATATGTGTGTGTGTACTTTTTTTTCTCATAAAACCTGGATCCCTACTCACCCATTAAGAAGGTCCTGACATCTGCCATGTATGCAGGGGTTGCTGCTACACTCGTCAACCTCGGACAAACAGGTGGCATCGTTGTATCCCTCTGGGCACAGGCAGGTGAAGCTATTGATGCCATCCACACATGTGCCTCCATTGTGACAGGGGTTGATGGCACAGTCGTCAATGTTGATGTTACACATTGCTCCTGTAAGACAGTAAATCTGGTTTTAAGGACAGTGTCACAAACGTTTCTTTTGGATGAACTGAAGTGATCAATAACTAAGCTGGCCATTATCAAAGCCAAACAGCTGGATACTCCCATGTGATATAATTTAAGGCCTTACAGTTTGCTCACTGAGATAATCTTTGCAGGGTTTTTTTTTTTGCATATGAAAAACAAAAAGACAAACTCCCCCAATATTCAACAAATACAATGTGAGCCAAGCCTGGTGGCCCCTGGAGGCTCTTTTCCCTCTCCTACATTGATTAAATAGGGCCCTGTTGAATAGGCAGAAGGAGCCCTTCAGCTGAATCACAGAGAGGGGGGAGCACACACACACACACACCACCCCCATCCAGGAGACCTAACCTCACCCAGGGCTGTTTACAGGGACAGAAGGCCAGACTTATTTCACACACGGCTGAGTAACAATTAACCCCACCCCCCCTTTCTGATCTCGTACCCGGCTCCCTCCTCCTATGCTCTTCATCAGTCAGGAGAGGAGGGCCCAACTGCCTGATCTTCAGTTACAATAGCCCTCTGTCCCTCTGTGTCTCAGTCCTGCCGTGCCCTCTACACTCAGCACAAAATGATTTTTTTTTTTTTTTTGGGGGGGGGCAGCCTTCACATCCACACACACACACACACTCCCCCTAACTACACATCCATCCCTGGTTTTAGCACAATCACATAACCACTACCAGTCAGAACCGGATCCATGTGACCTGCATGGTCTATTTGTTAAAGAGTGCCTGTCACCAAAGTTCTGTATTTTAGTGTATTACAGGTTGGCTTGCTTAGTAAATCAATTGTTAACTGGCTTGTCGTGCAGACACACTAATAACCATCAGATATGTGATTAAAGGACAGCCTCTCTTTTCCTTTCAAAGTATCAGTTTACAGAGTCTTTGCAAGCTCAACGTCACAATCTTTTCAGACGGGAAACAAAGTCAGTGCTTTGTGTGTGCTGTGTGCATGTATCAGGCTGTGTTCCCTTTCTCTTCTCCTCCGTCCCACATAGGCAACATGACACCATTGTTCCACAGGAATGGGTCCGCCAGCCACCTGTTCTACCTGCCCCTCCCAAAGCTCAGGTGACCACCCCCCTGCACCTGTACACTCCACCCAGCGCTCACCTGTGTAACCGGGCTCGCATGCACATTCATAGCCATTTATTTTGTCGATGCACTTCCCGTAGTCACAGGGCTTGCTCTTGCAGTCATCCAGGTTCACTTCACAATTGAAACCTGTAGATCAGAATATACATAAGGGGCAGAAAAAAGGTGAAGAAAGTGCAGGCATATTTCACTGGAAGAATTTCAAAGTTGTATAATATTAATGTCTCACCCGCAGTGCCTTGTGGGCAGGAACAGATGTATGTATTCTCCCTGTCCTGGCAAATGCCGCCGTTCTTACAGGGCTGGCTTAGACACTCGTTGATGTTAGTTTCACACAAGCGGCCAGTGTAGCCTGGGCGGCACTGACAGGTGAAGGAAGCCAGGCCATCCCTGCAGGTGCCATAGTGGCAGGGATTGGAGTAGCACTCATTGATGTCAATCTCACAGTGCTGCCCTGTGTATCCTGTAATGTAGGAGAACAGCTTTAACACCCGCAACTTTTTTTCTAAGAAAGACAAACAAGATTACGCAATAAATTAGAAGAAAGGATTAGTCTGGTGTACCTTCAGCACATTCACAGGTGTACTTGTTGGGTCCATCAGTACATTTAGCTCCATTCTTGCAGGGTGTGCTGGCACACTCGTCAACGTCCACCTGACAGAGACTCCCTGAAAAGCCTGCAGATGCATTTTTTTTTAAACCAAGAATTAAACTTCTTTTAATATTGAGAGTAAAGATATTTGCAGAAATGCAGAAAATTGCTGAAATTTGCATCTAAAAAAGGCCACGTGGTGCTGAAAGTCCTAACAAATCATTCCACAACACTCCCTTCACCCCTCCTTTTTCGGGCTCTTACTGTGCAGTGAAATCTTTCTTTCAAACCACATCACAATAGTCCACAGCTTACCAGCTAAAAACCAATCCCTACCCCCCCAATTCTGGCGCTAAGCTCTTACACAAACTCTCCAGCCCGCCAAATATGCTAATGTTTCTGCAGCCCTGTCTGTTCTGTCCAGCACACTCGTAAATGCTTCACTGACACTATTAGAAGAAGTAAATCATTTACGTTCAATCGGGGGACTGCATGCACGGCACTCATTGACATATAGTTAATGATCCACTCTTTTATACCCTCTTTTCTTAGCTCCCATTGTCTTGCCAAAAAACAGAGGAGGGTTAAAATGATACCATGGAAGCTATTTTTGTGGCTGTTTATACTGTAGTAATCAGATTATTTCTCACCTTTGGGGCACTCGCAGTGGAAGGAGTTGATCTTGTCAATGCATTTGCCATTGTTGAGACAAGGTTGGCTGGCACACTCATCTGTGTTGATGTGGCAGAACACACCCTCATATCCTGAAATGGGAGTTATAGGTCAGGTCACGTTTTTTTTCTTACCACAAAGTAAAGGAAAAAAACGTGTCAAAAGAAAAGTAGTCTTCTTGTATTACAAACCGATGCTTTACCTGGCATGCAGATGCAGTGGAACCCTCCAATCTGGTCCAGGCAGGTGGCATCATTGTGGCAAGGATTAGACATGCATTCGTTGACATCCATCTCACAACGAGGCCCTTCATACCCTTGGAGGCACTTGCACTGGAAGGAGCCCTTTGTGTTGAGGCAGCGACCGCCATGCTCACAGGGGTTGGCACCTAAAACATTAAATATGCAAATTGTAATAAATAAATGTAATAAATCAGTTCTGCATGTTAACTGCAAAGAAGCAGAATTATCAGAGGGTTGTAATCCAAACTAAAGGAGACAAACTGGTAGCTTAATAACATACCCAGAGAGCACTCATCGATATCCAGGTTGCAGGCCGATCCAGTGTAACCTGGGGGACAGGTGCATATTGCCTTGCCATTGACTGGGTTGGTGTCGCAGTTGGAGCCCTTCTGGCATGGGTTGCTGATGCAGGCATCATCAAGGTGGCACAACAGACCTGTAGCCATGGATATATTACATTTTACTCACTAAACATTAAGATCATGATATGTCTGCATAGCATTCACAGAGGGGTCACAAGAGCCATACCTGTGCGTCCATGAGGGCACTCGCAGAAGAATGAGGCCACGCGGTCGTGGCAGGTGGCACCGTGGTGACAAGCTGCACTGGCGCAGTCATCAATGTTCTCGCTGCAGTCGTCGCCGGTCCACCCATTTACACAGACGCAGTGATAGCCACCATGCGTGTCATGGCATGTCCCGCCATTCTGACATGCATTGGGCATCAGCTCGCACTCGTCCACATTTTCTGTGCAGTATTGACCTAAAAGAGAAAAAAAAAAATTGGTATTTATTATCTTAAAATGTTATTGGATGATTTTTTTTAAAGCCTTTAAGTGAAAGGTACCTGTGTAATGAGGTGGGCATCGGCAGTTGTAGGTGTTCACCCCGTCCACACAAACACCACCGTTCTGGCAGCTGTGGCCTGGACAGTCATCGATGTTGACCTCACAGTTGTGGCCTGTGAAGCCTGTTGGATTGGCGTGGGGTGAGAACAAACGAGTCAAAATGTAGAAAAGCTCTTGCGACACTTGATTAAGTGATAATCAGACCTTTCCTTCCTGCATAAAAATAGATATATATCCTCGTGGCAGAGCACAGCCTGTCCCCTCTGTTAACATCAAAGGCTTGTGTGGGTGTTTTATAGGCACAATAGCTCCGCTTAACAATCAACCCACAGCTCCACAGGTGCCTGTATTGGTGCGCTATCTAAACGCATTCCAGCAAAGACACCCGCAACTGGCACGCAGCGTGACTTAAAACTTCAACACACAACAGTTATTCATCCGCATGTCCAAACAACGGGCTCTGTGCTGACCACATAATGAGACAAAAACACAGGCAAGTGAAAGCTTGATCCAACCACCCTTTTATTTTAACTGATGTGGTTTGCTAGGGATAAGGAGGTAATACTTTCCATAAGAGTCTGCAATGTACACTGCTACTGCTCCAAAGTAAGATTGTGACCTTTGGAACCAACTGTGACCTTCTATGAAAAATTATACAGTACTTTCTAATAAAAATTAGAAAGCATGGTATGAATAATTTAAACATAAGTACTGTATAGGTTTGATGCAAAATCCCTAATTGTTTTTTCTCCTCTTTATTTCCCCACATCTACACGTATGTATTGTGTGTGCACTTTCTACACATCTGGTGTCCTGACTCTTAACAGAAGTTACCACAACATTGCGCAATAAATGTGGCAGACAGGCTGGCAGTGTTGATGTGAAAAACAAGATATTTTTGCGAGTCTGTGACCTCGTGAATAGGGTGTGTAAATCTATAGGTTTGTGTGCATGTGGGTTTCTCTGCCATTGTAGGGGCTTGCTACCGATTATCAGAAGGAAACGTCTGTGCAACTGCATCCTGCCTGTGCAGGCTGGCAGAGAGAGAGGGGAAGAGCGGTGATTCCAGATTACTCCACTCCACCCAATCAGATTTTACTACAACAACAGGCTGGTTTGTAGGTCAACTGATGTAACAGGAAAAACAATTGTGTGTTTTGTTACCACACTAACCATCCACAACTCCACGTGGCAGCTACCATTACTCTGTAAATTCATGTTTGTGCCATACCTGGAAGACAGCTACAGTCGTAAGCGGTGTCCCCCTTCTGGACGCAAGTGCCTCCATTCTGGCATGGTGACGGGCTGCATGGCAGATAGGGGTTCTCGCAGTGCTGGCCTGTGTACTCTTGAGGACAACGGCAGTGGTACGAGCCCACCTCATTCACGCATACGCCGCCATTGAGACAGGGAGAGGGAGTCTGGGCACACTCGTTCACATCCTGCTTGCAGGTTTGACCAGTAAAAGCGCGTGGGCATTTGCAGATGTAGGTGGATTCTAAGGCTGAGCACAGGCCACCATTTGCACATGGATTGGAAGCACATGGGTTGGCAGCCTGGCAGGTTTTACCTGGAAAGTAACACAGTAAAAGTGAAATAATCATAAAAAGGGCTTAAAAGAGGGGCAAAAACTTTCTAGTCACGAAACAAGTTTTGAACATTTCCATACATACCAGACCATCCAGGTGGACAGTCGCAGCGGTAGGCATTGAGGGCAATGAGATGGCATGTTCCTCCATTGCGACAGGGGGAGCTCATACAGGCGTGGTTGGTGGGGGTCAGGCACAGTCGGTCAGTGAAACCCAGGCGGCACACGCAGCGGAAATCGAACGTGTTGCTATGGGAAACAGCACGGCATTCGCCACCGTTGCGGCATGGCGAAGGACTGCAGGGATTTGGATACTGGCACCGGCTGCCTATGTAGTCACTGGGACACCTGGGAACAGACAGCGAAGAGAGGGAGCAGCAATGATTAGAAAAGCATGACTTTTTTTTTAGCATGGGAACAATTATCTAAACAAAAGGGGAGTAAAAGGAGGGGTTTGATGTGTAAGGGGGAGGTGTAGAAGGGAACTAAAAGTTTCCCGCCCAACAAAGTCCCACTGCAGTGTGGCAGGGATAACATGTTGTTCTAATGCGTCTCTCTGGATTAGCTTCCCTCAGAACCTTGAAAATACATTCTGCCGGGACAACAGACGCCACAAAATAGTCTAGCAGTCTAACAGCCTGTTCCCATCTACCTTTCGCCCCCATGCTGTCCATACTCATCCACAATGACCGTAGAGATCAAGGGGAATGTGCCGCTCATGGATGACTGATATGAAGCTCTGCATTCAGGCCCTAAGCCTGCTTCCCTCCTATCCAGACCAAGGACTGTTACTGCTAAGTCACACAGCTCAAAGTGGCTGGTTAGTTGAACAAATTCTCTTATAAATTTCACAAAGATGGGTTCTGCCCACTGTGGTTACAGGGTGTTTGTAAAAAAAAAATCAATACATTTTGACCAAAGAGTACAAGAAATTGACTGTTTTAGCATTGTGCTAATGAAATGCACAGACATTATTTGATATGCAGCCCATACATAACACTGCAGTCCCATCTGTCACGTGAGGGAGCATTTAAAGTCACCAGAAAAGTGTTTACATTTGAATCGGGAGGCTTGTGTGACTGTGTGTAGTTGTGACCTGAGTGTGTGAGTGGTTATGTGTAAAGGAGGGCATCTGTTGGCCTCCTAGTATCTCCACAGGGAGCAGGTGCGCATGTTAATGAAGGCAGCTGTTGGTCAGGACTCCTTCTCCTCCCCCATCCTCGTGTCCCCTCCTCCTTTCCCCTTCCTCCTCCCCCTCCCTTCTGTCCCCTTCTCAGACAGGGGTGCTGACAAAGCCAACCTCTCCTCCGGGGACATAAAGAACCCATGTGAAGTCAGCTGTTGCAACTTCTGTGCCTCCAAACCACATGACTTATTCTTAATTCCTCTCTTCCTTACCTGTTCCCTTTTTTTTTTGTTTATTTCCCTTTTCACATAAAGTATTTCCTTCTAGTTTTCTCTACTTTAGCTCTCATTCAGCTTACCATGGGGAAGGTTTTTAAGCTTTCTCATTTTTTCCTTTTAAAGGGACATTTTTTCTTTTAAACTCGTAGCTGTTTCCCTTTTGCAGATTTCCCCTTGTGTTGCACCGGATTGTTCAAAACTCTATTGTTGACTTAGATAGGTGAGACCAACAGGGAGTTTTTAGCAGGGCCTCTACAGGGAGTCCAGACAGTTGTAATTGGTGCAAGATTGTAAAAGCATTTGAGGTGACTTTGAAGTCACCGGGAAAACACACTGAGTGAATTATAAAGGTAATTCACTGCTGTGGTACAAAAATCTCACCCACTATGATAAAAACGAGGTGTTAATAATGGTGTGTGTCATCCTGTGTGTGTGTGTGTGTGTGTGTGTGTGTGTGTGTGTGTGTGTGTGTGTGTGTGTAGTTAACTCCCACGTAAACTGACTGTAATAGACCTTGTTTGTCCTGAAGTCAGAGATAAAGATCCACCCACACGCTGAAAAGACCAGCAGCACACACCACGGCAACAGGTCTCTCCCAGCGCTGCAATGTCCCCTCAGGCCAGAGCAGATGCTTCCCCGACCTCTGACCCTAAACACTTTTGTGACTGTGGGACAGCCCCTTTGCTTTCTCTTCCCTCTCTCCACTCTCCCTGCTGGGCCTGATCTACCATCTGTCACTCTGGGGGTGACTTTATGCTCTGACACAAAACGTGCCCAACTGTGCGCTGGAAATGCCACCGCTGTGGAAAATGTCATGTGAAATGACTGAGGGTGCCGTACAGTAATCAAAGGCATGTATAATGTTGTCAGTCTTGGTTTTGCCTTTCATGATACTTGAAAATGTTCCAAGATCACCGACTATTTCTCTTCTCTCTTTTGATTTTCACTTGTCCTTTTGTCTTTATTACATATTTGTTTCTGCCCTTTCCTCCTCATTTGCTTTGTCTGGTTAGTTGATGTTCCCTTGAATGTGTCTCATCATTAGCCAAGATGTGACCCCTGGGGTCCACATCTGCTAGTAAAACCAAGAGCGGAGCAATGTAGCCCAGCTAGAGAAAATGAGAAATGCACTGGATTTGGAAGCCTCTCAAATCCCACTACAGCAATAAAATCCATGAGAGAGAAACACTGTTATATTAAAAGGGTGTATAATAGTCATACAAAGATTGTGCACTCTCAGGCTGTTGAACCTAAAAAGGGCTAAACTGCATAAAGTGTTTACTAAACATTGAATCATGCTCATTTGGTTCGGTAAAATGCACATTATTGCTTGGAAATCAAACCACCTTCCTAAACAAAAAAATGACTCTCTACAAGTAACATATATCTTCAAAAAAGGGGATCTTAGAAGAATCATTGGACAATAATAAAGCGGTTTCTGTTCCACTCTCTAAAATCAGTGAAGTTGGTAGAGGCGGTCAGAATGAGAAGAATTTGGCACCTGTCTGAATAACAGCACAGCCTGACATTGAGCTCACTTTCATTCATAAAACTACGGTAAACAGCCGACGGCATAACTCTGATTCCGTGTGTATGTGTGTGTCATGCACCTTGTTCTGCTGCACTCACTTAACAACGCTGTAAAAACATCCCAGCTCATGATCAAGACCAGGAAAAACACCTGCCTGCCATTCCACCTCTTGTGATGATTATCAGTGAAAGCCGATGGAGTAGTCTGGAGTCTATTACTTCAGATTACCATCAAGTCAGGTGGGCACAAGTGTGTTACCACAACATATTCATTCATCATTACTTGTTTGGTCGCTATAAAGGGTGACTCACATTCCAACCAGATAACATTTCCCCCCATGCACATGCAATTACTAGAAAGATCAAGACACGTGCACACATTTTCTGACTTATTAGAAGAGTTATTTCATTTGATAACCTCTACTGCTAGATATGAACTTTCAACACCCACTAGAGTGACACAGGCCCTTATTGCTCTGCACTGACAGCATCACTTTCAATCTCCTGCTTTGAAGGTTTCCAGATCAGTCTCCAAAGTAGGTGTGAAAAAATATGTCTTTACATTATATATGCAATGCGTTCTCTTCTGGGAGTTATATATCTAAAAATTGCACATCAACTTTGCTTCCAAAGTTGATGTAAGAAGATGGGACCTTTTTTTCCCACCAGCCTCTTTCAGTTCTATATCATGTGGCCCCTGGCATCTGGGGAATGGGCCCAACCAGGGGAGTGGCAGCATTAGAGCTTAAACCCCAAATAAAAAGGCAACACCAGCAGGCACCTTAAACCCACTAAGCACTTGTATGTCCCTGATTCAGGGAGCTGAGCTTTTATAGAGACCTTCCTGGTAATCCTATAGGAGGACAAAAGAAGAGCAGCATTCTTAGAGGAAGAGTGTAAAAATCATTTCAGGTTGTGACTGAGACGCATTATCGTCAATAAACAACACCATACAGCTCCCTCTACTAGCTACATCACATTAAGTGAAATTCTCTCGTCTGGTCTATTTCTGTCAGTGCAGTATTCGAGACATGTGGGGTGACAGTTGAGATGTTTATTCTTAACACTTATCTCTGACCAAAACGGCACCCATTTCAGCAAATCAGCAATAACAGTGAGTCTGTCACGTAAAGGCCAGACCGAGGGCAACAGCCTTTTAACCTGTCTTTGCCCTCATTACAGTCTGACAAATGGAAACTAAATTTGACTCACGCTATGCTTGTGCCCTCAAACTTTAAAGTTGCCTACATTAAAAAAGACTGCTGCAGCTTGGTGGGAAACAGGAAGCCCCAGACCTTGAGATAACCTCTTAATTCACAGAATCGCAACCGAGTACTTCCCCACTGCAGACACTCGTTGCTATTTCCGTGTCCAATATCGCCACAATTTACATAAACTCTCCGACTTCCCCTAAAGTTACTCAGTCTTTTAATGTAAAGAGATTTGTCTTCAATCGAGGAAACAGCATTAAAGGTTTTAAAGCTGGTTCCCCTTTGCTCCTTTTGAGTGTTTCGATTTTCTCTGGAGGTGTATGCTGTCACACACATTAAGACCACATTCTGGTTCCATTTTTAAAACCAGCATGGGAACCTTACTATCTCAGCCAATCAGTCGACCACACAGTTAGCTGTTATATTTCTTTTAGCTAAATCTAACCTTACTCTACCAAGCTGACTGCTGTGATTGTAGAATGAATTAAAGCTACCATCTTTAGAGGTTTTGACTCTTGTTGAATTTACAGTTTGTTGGGGTTAAAAATCACCTTAAAATCCTTCATTTGAATATCAGCTTGGGAAAAAGCAGATTCCAGTGAATGCAACATGAATAAAGAAGACAAATCTAATCCTTTTCCTGATTTCCTGAAGGTATGAAGTAATATTGGGGGAGGGAGGAAGGGTGTAATGTTGTTCATCATTGTCGGCATGTGATTCTCTTGCACTCGTGAGAACTGTGCCGAAAAGAGGATTCAGATCTGTCTTAACCACTCAAAACTGTGCTACCATATGCTGCATAACCACAAAGCAGAACATGATTCAGTGGTATCTCCGATAGTTGGCTCTGTGGGTTTGATGTGTTATAACCTGCTGACCTTCCCCTAAACATCACGTGAGGGTGACCGCACAATTTAGATGCCCTCAGCTCAACTCCACCTCTGCTTTCCTTTTTGTCACAGTGCAGGCATCCCCTCCTTTCTAACTCAGCCGACTTTCCACCTATGTGTCAGCAGCACAAAATTTAAAAGTGAATTTGATGTGACACAGCATGGCACAAAAACATGGACCACTGCTGGAAGATTCTCTGCTACAGACACTTTGCCCTGACCCCCCGAATCTCACAGTGTCCCCATGACTGATAGCTGCTTAGCTTGGCAAGGATGAATGATGAATGAGAGGGAAGCCAGGAGGAAGAGA